TTGCTTCAGCCTGCGATTACAGTATAGAGTGTGACCGAAAAGTTTCTCCTGTTATGAAACAAAAATCTGCAGAGTGTGACCAAAAATTTTCTCCTGTTGGGAGAAGATTACCCACCGGAGCAAATTGTACACTTGCTCTCTTGGGCAAAACCCGAGCTTAGACTATTTTTAGGACTCCAAATTTTGGGAAGAGACCTACTCAACCAAGTAAGGAAAAAGAGATTCCTACTCCACCTTCTGGGAACATAAAGAAATAAGAGTTGGAAGAGTATCTTAAAGTTTTATGCAGAAAAAGTCATGCCCTAGGTTTGAATAACGACCATTCATTTTTTGGACGGTCATATCTAAATATATAATACCTCAATTTTTTTATTTTTTATTTTTATTTATTTATTTAATTTTTTTAATTTCCTCATATGGTGGTCCTAAACTAATCCTTAATTCAGATCTAATAGATCCTCTTAAATGGGTATCTTGCCCTAAAGCATATGTAATTTTTTTCAGTGGGAACATAATATTCATGTCATTCTCCATAATATTCATGTCATTCTCTTTCTTTCTTTTCATTGTATATATTAATCATTTGAGTCTTATTTCAACTATTTGGTTTGGTTACACGAATCTTATTCTGCATTAGAATTCATGAAACATATGTGATAAAAAATTTATACTGACTGTCAACCAAACACATCTCTCCTCCTTATCCAGGCTTGAGACCAGCATTTTCTATATTTTTCATGTAGGTAAATTAGAACCCCACATTGGAAGTTGTGGCCTTGGAGTCCCTTACCAGCACTAAGCCATGAAGTTGAAACACCATTTCATTGGCATTTTATTTGAAGGCTTTATGTTATGTGAAGAAGTAGGACAAAAGTCTTCATTAAATATGTGAGCTACAACGTATGTGATGCCATGCACAAGAAACATTTGGGCATGGGCTTAAAGAGGGAGCATTCACATTGCACAATCAAGGTGTGAGTGTGAACACGCATGTACTTGCCAAATGTTTTTTGTGTGCCTCAATTTTTCTAAGACTTGGACTGAATTTGGTTCTCAACGCACTTTTTCAACCTACTTATCACCAAAATAGGGAAAATATACAATAAATTCCCCATTGTGGCCTAAAAAGTTATAATAACCCCCGGCCATCATATGTAAAATCAGGCGAGGTGTATTAATGACGGCACATAAAGTTAGAGAATTCTTGTTTGACGGCACATAAAGTTAGAGATTTTTTGTTTGAATTTATACATGTAAATGTTATACTTGAGCTGTCTAATCTTACATCCAACGGATTGATGTGCTTGTGACCTTTGTGGAATGAAAAGCAAAAATCTCATTGCACCCGATGGTTTGCGAGTTACCCATTAGAACATAAATTTTCTATCCTTTTGAAATATATAAGAAATTTCAAGTTTTCCAAAAGATTATAAAAAAATCTCTTTCTTTTTATAGAACTGGGTGTAAATGCGTATATGATCTTCTTTCAAAAGACTTCTTAAAAAAAACTTATTCCATGTTTCAAATGTCCTTATTTTTCGATCATTCTTGATACTTCCTTTCTCTCCTTTGATTTTGAAAATGCAAAAAATTAATTATTATCTAATAGAAGCATGTATATGAAGATAGATCAATAAAAAAATCTCTTTTTTTCTTTTCGATAATTCAGTGAGGAAGACGGGCCCTACCCATTTAGTGAGGTGAATGAGCCTCTTAAGGGATAGATGGAGTTGAGAAATTTGTGGTGGTGGAGCTTAGATTTGGTGGTGGCGGCGGTGTCGAAGCTCAGATCTGGTGACAGAGCTATCTCTCTCTCTCTAACATTGCAACGCTCTCTCAAATCTATTGGCGGTGGAGGCTATGATAAACTATTCTTACCGAAAGCTGCAACTGGCCAGGTTTGTTAAGATTTTATAACCATTTTAGATGCGAAAACATGAATCTCAAAAAGTTGGATCGTGTACTTCACTAATTCGAAGCAAAATAAATGATAATACGAACTATAATACAAGAAATAAAACATAAAACACAACACATCGCAAGAACACAAAGATTTATGTGGTTCAGGCTACATCCACAAGCATAGTAAACTGAAATACATTATATCAATGAAAGTTACATCATATATTTGGGAAATAGAGTTACCTTTTTCACCCGTGTTAAAACCTAGTCGAACATATCCTTTTAGACCCGCTCTCCCAAACCGACATCAACCATCAATCTCCCATATTTATTCCACAACTAACCACTATACATGAAGAGTATTGTGAGAGCAACTAAAACTTTATTTCACTAAAAAGAGGAAACTACCCAAAATCTTTATAGGAATTGCTTCTCTAAAAAAAATAGTATCTCACTCTTTAAGATGCACCATCACATTATTTCTTTTTATAAGAATCTCTCATCTTTAAAGGGAGACATTGCCTCTAATGCACAGGAGGTCCCTGACTCTCTCTAGAAGAAGTCACTTTTCTCATATGGTGTCCTAAATAGGGCACACATTTTCTTTCCTCTCTCATTCTTTATATGCAAGGTTAGAAATCCATACTAAATAGGAAATTTTTTATATATGTTACATATATATAAAAAACCAAGAGATATACTTAAGAGTCATAATTATTTTTATTTATACTTTTATTTAGGAAACTTATCAATCTACTTTTATTTAGGAAACTTATCAATATCAATCATCATCCTACATAATATAAGATTTCCTTATGTGCATTATTTTTGCATGTCACCCTATCCAACAAGGGTTAGGGTAGGAATGGGGTTGACGTCGTGGTATAGTACTCCCTAAGCCTCATCTACTAGTTTAGGTTTCTATTCCAACTAACGCCTTTGAAAGCCACTAACTATTTCTAAAACAGGTAGGGACCTATATTCCCCACTGAGGAACGGCTTGGCCAAACTGGGCTGCGCTTGTTGTGGTTCTAGTTGAGCCCACCTGGCGCTGGAGCCAAATATTGTATCCTAGGCCCTAGTTTTGTAGGGCTGGGCCACCCAACTCATTGCTAGGCCTATACATAGTTATTAAAAGTAGGCTAGACTAGCTGGACCGCATATTGACGCCTTGGTTGGTCTAGTATCATGCAAAAACTAAGTTTGGTAAAAAACACCAATTCAATGTTTCACTAGTTTGGCAGGCCAGATCATCTAATAAACTATCTTTTGTAAAATATTTTGTATTTGTAAATTATTATTTTTAATTTTCAAAATTTTAAAATAAAAACTGATCAAACTAGTCAAATTGGTTTTGACTAGACCAAACTTGCCATTGGTTCGGTGGTTGGTCTAATTATGATAACATTGCTATAGTTCGTGGACTTTGTTAGATTGGTTAATCTATAACATTAACCACATAAATATGCTCTTTGTCGGGGATACTTCGTATAATTACTGTCTCGAGTGAAAGACACAGGCAATTATTTTTTTTTTTGTAAAAGTTTTGGGATCCACACCACGTGAGTACACCCAAACTCAGGAGGTGAAGGTGGGGGCTTCCTCTACCTTGGTTGGTTTGATAAGGGTATTCCATCAAATTATGGACCACAAAAGTATCGACCTCCTGGTCCACCTTTTATGATCAACCAGCCATGCCTGCTAAAGTTCACCCAAAACTGAGAGAATGCTATGGAAAGGCTTAGAAACATGGAGAAGGTGTTTTAGTAGAGTTTAAAAACAAACTTGAACTAAGAAAAAAACGAAGGGGGGAAATGTGGTAACTGGGCCCATAGGGTTGATATCCAGGTCGGGGCCTGAATCAGACTATTGACATGGAGGGACTGTTCCCTATGTCTTACAGAGTCCTTGAGTCATAGATGGGCATTGTCAAAGTCTTATCCAAGTTGATTAGGCCTCGGAGGTGAAAGGGAACTATGGTGGTCTATGAACCTAATGACAATCCATAGTTTATGTGTAGGGGTTTAGGCAGTTTTGTATATAAATTATTGGGTTTTATTTGTTTATTATTTTAATTAATTTCAGTAAAAAATGGAATCTAGGTTAACCATGGTGGCTTGATGGTGATTAGATGGTTTAATCCAAGCTAGGCTTTCCTAATCCAATGTTTAGGGCGGATTTGGAAAGGATTAACCTAATTATGTATGTTTTAAGGTTGGCTTAGGCTAATTTGGTAAGTTTTCCTAATAAATTGGGTTGATAGCAAGGTTTTAGGCCTAACTAAGCTAGCTTAGGGTTAACTAATTCTGTTTCCCTACTTGTGGGGACTTCTATGGCATGTTTAGTTTGCTCCCTGTGGGATTTGGACTATATGGTATGGTGCACCATGAACTAAACTAGTGTATGATCCATAGGGTGGTTTAGGCTAAGGAAAGGGTAATTTCATGGGGTGAAAGCCAGGTTTTAGGTTTTGGATAGGACTGAGAAAGTCACTACTTTTGGGCCTTGTGGGTTTGGGTTGCGAGTCATTGGGAATTCCCTTAGCCAAAGCAGTCTTCCTGGTCGCTGTTTTTCTGTTTTTTTTAAAAACTTTAAAAATAGATTTTGAGTTATATACAGTTTAGATCATCTTAGATGGGGCTCTCCGAATCCAATCTTGGGACATTACTTTGGGTGGGCGAAATTTTAGTTCGTCACTATCTTCATGAGGAGGTTACATCGTCAATTTTTTGGGGCGTAAATATATCCGCGGCTAGGGGTGGCGAACGGGTCGCGTCTGGTTGGACCCATACCCAAAATTTGGACCCATAGTTGGACTCGTCAGGTCCCTGATCTGTTTGAATCCATTACCACCTTATAACTATGATTTATTTTAGTTTTTGCTTTTTTTATAACATCATATATCATATGACTATGATTTTTTTTTTTTTTGCCAATAATATTGTAAAGGAAAAAGTTTATATAAAATTGCAACTTTAAAAATGTGGAATTATAGGTGTACCTCAAAAATCCATAATGTAGAAATATTGAAAAAAAGAGATTTTCAATCCCATAAATAATGCATATTGAAACACATTATGTATACCGTCCATTTCATGGGTTTATAGATATACCAGAAATTGGCTGAGAGAGTGAACAGGTGCTACATTGATCCAACAGACAGGGGGAGCGTGAGCATGGCGCCTTGAGGCAGCCAGCAATGTGCTCAACGCCCTGCCCTTCTCTCTCATCGAACCACCCAAGATGCCTCCGCCTCCTCCACTCTCTCACTTCCGTCTCCATGCCCCACCTCCTCCAACTCCACGCCCAAATGCTCCGAAACCACTCTCTCTTCCTCTACCCCTTTGCAGCCGCCAAGCTCCTCGAGCTTTTCTCGCTCTCTCTGTGTGCCAATCTTTGCTATGCTTTCTCTCTCCTCACCCACCTCCCCAACCCCAACACTTTCTCCTTCAACACTCTCATTAAAGCCTACGCCAATTCCCCGTCTCCTGCACCAGCCCTCACCATTTTCTCTCTCATGCTTCGCTCCAACACAAACCCTAACTCCTACACTTTCCCCTTTCTCGCCAAGGCGTGCGCTCATCTCTCTTCGATCAATCCAGGTCTCCAAATCCATGCTCACATTGTGAAATTTGAAGGAAATTCACGAGTGTTCTCACAAAATGGCTTAATAAATATGTACTCTACTCATGGAAATTTCGATGAAGCTCGTCAAGTGTTTGAGGAAATGCCTCATAGAGATTTAGTCACCTGGAATTCGATGTTATCTGGTTTTGTCAATTGTAGTCTCATCATTGATGCTCGTAAAGTTTTCGATGAGATGCCTCAAAGAACTATAATTTCGTGGAATGCTATGTTAAGCGGCTACATGAAGTCTGGGGATGTGACTTCGGCCAAGTTGCTTTTCGATCAAATGCCTTCTCGTAATGTTGAGACTTGGAATGCTATGGTTGCGGGCTATGCAAAGTGCGGTCTCGTGGACCATGCGCTTGAGGTTTTCCATTCAATGCCTGAGAGGAATGTAGTCTCATGGAGCGCTGTAGTTAGCGCGTGTGCACAAGGTGGGCACCCACGCAAGGCCTTGGTGCTCTTTGGGGAGATGAGAGACACTCATGTGAGGCCCAATGGTTCTGCTATAGTGAGTGCACTATCGGCTTGCACTCACCTAGGTGCGCTGGACCATGGGAGGAGATTACACAAGTATCTAAAGGCTAACTGGACCAGGCTGGATACCATAGTCGGGACTGCACTCATTGACATGTATGCGAAATGTGGGTGCTTAGAGGATGCATCAAGCGTTTTCCAGTCATTAGGGCAACAAAAGGATGTGTTTGTATGGACTGCTATGATTGGAGGGCTCGCTATGAATGGCCATGGCCAAAGGGCTTTAGAGCTCTTTGGTTTAATGGAGGATGAGGGTGTAAGGCCAAATGAGGTTACCTTTATTGGTGTTCTATGTGCTTGTAGCCATGGGGGCCTTGTTGAGAGGTGTCGCCGATATTTCACCTCTATGAGCAAAATTTATGGAATTAATCCTCAAATCGAGCACTATGGTTGTATGGTCGATGCGCTTGGTCGAGCTGGTCTTCTCGATGAGGCCCGAGCTTTTGTTGAGGCCATGCCATTAGAGGCCAATAGCGTTCTATGGGGTACCCTTCTTGGTGCTTGTTGGATACATGGCAATGCTGAACTTGGTGAATATGTGGTCAAGCACTTAGTTGAGCTGGATCCTAAAGATGGGGGGGTTTATGTTCTCCTCTCAAACATATACGCCAGAGTAGGAAGGTGGGAAGAGGCGAAGGAGACTCGAAAACTAATGCAATCTAAGGGACTTCAAAAGAGCCCAGGCATAAGCTCAATAGAGGTTGATGGCGTTGTTCATGAATTCTATGTAGGGGACAAGTCACATTGCAGGACAAAAGAGATATATGCAATGCTTGAAGAGATGGCCTCAAGATTGAAGCTTGTAGGGTACACACCCAACACATCTCCAGTGTTGTTTGACATAGAAGATGAGGAGAAAGAGCATGCAATCTCTCACCATAGTGAGAAGTTGGCATTGGCCTTTGGGCTTGTAAGTGTGGGGTTGGGCGTGCCCATTAGGATTGTCAAGAATCTCCGGGTTTGTCTCGATTGCCACACTGTAATGAAGCTTATTTCTACAGTTTACATTCGGGAAATAATCGTGAGGGACCATAATGTGTTTCACCATTTCAAAGAGGGATTATGTTCTTGTAAAGATTATTGGTGACACCTGTGCTAAATGGGAGCGTGGTTATGCTGTTCTCCATGTTATGGATCTATGCCAGGATCTGCATCTTCAGTACTCAAGCATTGCAGATCGAAACTGCTTGGAGTTTCTTATCCATGATTTAGAAGCCCCCTGTTTGGTGAGTAATCTTTAATTTGAACCCAAGACCACAATTTTGCCTTCTGACCCTTAACCACTAAGCTAATAAGCCAGTCATTTTGTATGATATTGCATAAATTTATGCCATTTGTATTTTTACAATGTACATTGTTGTTAGACCATGGCATATTAACTTGTATGGCCACATTTGTTGTAACAATGATTTTCCCAAAACTTGAGCTCAGGTCTAATCAAAGTTTTCTATGGTTTTGTGTTTGACCAAAAATGCAGGATCGAGTCAGCTAAGGTAACATATGTCCTTGTTGAGTTCATGGATTCAACATCATTGGTTAAATTGTTGATGATTGCATATACCACCCTCAATAAAAAACACACAACGTTAAAATAAAAAATAAAAAAATCTCGAAGCAGCGTGGTCTACTCATGCGATTCGTGTATGGAATCACAGGCTTGGTCTTTGATGTATGACTCGTTTCTTAGAATACCTTCTAAAAACCCTCCATAGAGGGTCTTGGTCTTTTGATGAATGCCTCGTTGGTTAGTAAGCCCTCTAAAGAACCCTTCATAGAGATGGTTAAAAACAGTTATTTAGAAATCTACAAGTCCGATTTGGCCCTGACCCTGCAGGCATTCTGATTTACCGGTCCAGGGATTCCCATGTTGTATTGGGCAACAACTTACAGTGAAATAAAAGAAAATATAAAAACCAGATTGTATTGGGCAACTACTTACAGAGAAATAAAAGAAAATATAAAAATCAGAAAGAATTAGGGCGATTCAGCATTTCCTCGATCATCATTGGTTATTTTTAAATCAGTGGTTGGAGGTCTTCGTGTAGGACTAAAAAAGGAAAAATAAAATGAGAGAGATGGAAGGAAAAAAGAAAAAGATAAGAGATGGTGTTTTTTTTGTCGATGGAAAAGCGCAGTCCTTAGATGACAACCTCAAAGTCATCATCGACCTCGTCGGTGGCGGATCTTGCGTGCTGCTTCATGACAAGCACTGATGCTGTGATTGAGAAGTCCGGCGACGCGAGGAAGTCCCCGACTGGCCCCAGCTCCGGACAGTCATCCCAGTCACTCATCCCTTCAATCAGCTTTGATGGCCGGCTCCCCTCTCCCCTGCCCACCACAAACAAATTGTACATCTCTTCCATCCCTCTCAGCTCCTCCACCATCTCTGCCCCATTCCCCACCCTCCTCTCCAAATACCCCACCTGCCCTGTCGCTATGCATCGTGTGTGAAAGTCCTCCAGGAACTCGCAGTCGAGCCTCCTCTCCCTCGCCCTCTCTGCTATTTCAGAAACCTTCTCGACATCTGCATCTCCTGCTACTGAAATGTTGTCCTCGTCCTCAACCATTGGAATAAAATGCACGACCTCGATGCTGATTCCCCGGTGCTCCGCCATGCGACTTGCGAACGCGAGGGCCTCACGGTCATCGGCACCCCCAAAGAAGAGTACTGCCACATGGTGTGATACGTGCACTGCTGTGAGGTGGGTGGCTCCCCCAATCCCCCGGTCCACTAGGATCGCCACCGAGCACGGGGCACTCCTTTGGACTCTGCGGTTCACGCCCTGGAACCCAGGCCCGGCTGACCCAGCGACCTCCTCCATACGTCCATCCACCCTCTGCACCTTATGGAACGGTAATAATATGAGCGACACGAGCGCATCCTGGGCTGCATTCACAATGTCCTCATGCATAGTCGAGAAGGAGGCGATGGCATTGAGGTGGCGTATTGTGAGCCCTGATGTGGAGCCGACATATGTGTCAAGGGCCTGGACAATTTCATCATTCTCAATGGAGGCCTCATCCGTGGGGGCGGCAGCAGAGGCATGGCCAGTGGGGTCGGCACGCACCTTGAACATGATGGTGGCGGCGGTGCGGTCGGTGAGCTCGAGCAGGTGCATGGCATAAACAAGGAGGGGGGAGGAGGGTGTTCCTTTGGAAGCCTCGAGGAGGCTGATGGCGGCGGGTACATTGCGTGGGCTGTGGAGGCACGCCATGATCCGGAGCTCAGATGATGGGTTGTGCCACTCGAGGCCCGCCCACTTGAAGTGGGCTGTGCGGCGGGCACGGCGCACGATTAAGGAGATGATCGGGCAAACGGTGCTGACGCTGAGGAGGACCACCAGGACCATCACTGTGAGCGCCTCTTCTGAGATGATCTGCATGGTCATGGGTACATAATGCCAAGCTGAATTTAAGTCACCTTTTGAGATTTAATAGACTCTTTCTGATGAGTAGAAAGTAAGATTAAATAAAAAAATGAAAAAGAAAGGGTGCACATTTTAACAATGGAAAAGGTTTATCCGAGGTTCTAAACAATCAAATTAAAACACACCTCAAAAATTTCTCTAGAAGAGTTTGTTTTGATGCCCAAATATCCTTATATTGATTATCTTGACATCAAGATGCTTGGACATGAGAAAAAAAATGGATTTTAAGTTTTGGAAATAGTGCATCTTGTAACGGATTTTTGGACCGTCAAGTTTTAATATTTTCAAGTTTTTATAAATCTGCTCGATCTACACTATGTTTGAAGCTTTAAATTTTATAATTAAAGATAAAAATATATTTTAAAGTTATTACAAAGATTTTCAGTATTGAAACTACATTCCTCGATACTATTTGAAGGTACGTATTATTTTGATTGTTTAGAGCTTCTGCTCTATACAAACCGCATCCTTTAATATAACAATTAAAAATAATTAACGTTGAAAAGAGTCCAACATGAAACGTAGCCAAGTTAAGATCTGATTATGTATGATCAAATTTGTCTATGTCTATGGTTTAGAACTTATGTCATAATTATGGATATTTCAAGTCGATTTCTTAATGGTAATTTAGTTGGTTAATATGATTAAAAAAATTTACATAATGTGTCAACTTTATACTACAGTACTAAGTTGCACCTCAAAAAACCCATTTAGAAGTTGTTCTTATGCTGAAAAACCCTTCCAATTGATCATCTCATAATCGAGATGTACGGATGTGAAAAACATGATTTCAAGACCAGGAAATAGTGCACCTTACAGTAAATAATTTATACGGTTCATTTTCAAGATTCTAAGTGTTCATAGATTTGCTCTATCCACCTAATTTTGGAACTTCAAATTTTATTAGAAGGCTAAAAATCTAGATTTTTAAGCTACCGCAGGGGTTTTCGGCAACAAAACAACATATTTCGACACGATTTGGAGGTGTGCTGTATTTTAATTGTTTAAGGTTCACACCCTGTACAAACTGTAATTATTCTATTTATACAACTCTCTGTCTCTCTTGTCGATATTAAACCATTTTTATGAGCCATCTCCTATATATAATATGCTCATCAGAAGCCCTTAACAACGAGGTTATCAATCATCTAGATGATGACATGGGGAGATTAGGGATATAAATTTCAATTGGTTGAATATAAGGTGAAAATTGCTCCCATTCATTACTGCTTAACATATTAACTGTAGTACAATGAACCACATGACTATGGTTGTTTGCTATGACCATATGGTTCCGATGATATCTTTTCTTCTGCAAGTCTGCAATCTTGATTAATACGGGTTGTGCTTACACTTTTGATGCATTATAACCACATAATATTATTTTTCATATTTTCAATATCTCAATGAAGATTCTCAATAACATATAGATTGGACGTTTGGTGCGCATGAAAATATACTTCGCGTGAATAAACTCCCTTGTGTGATTTTAGAAGTGGAAGTTTCTATCCTACAATTTTTCCCATTTTTTTCTTTTTGAGATTTTTTGTTGAGGGGCTTGGATCCAAAAATTCTATCAGGTAAAATCAATGTTATTAAATTCGTTTCGCTTTGGCCAAAGAGGCCGAAGTCTTCGGATTTTTGGACTAGACCAAAGTAAAGTGATGCGGCCCCTTTGGTGAACTTCGGTTCAATTCGGCCACTTTGGCCGAAGCTTTGGCCTCTTCGGCTGAAGCAAAGAAATTTCTTTTTTTTCCCATTTCTTCTCTCTTTTCCATTTTTTTCTCTCTAAACCACCTCTCCCTCCTTTCTTTTTTAAATCAGTTGCAAGGTTTCACCATTCAATATCCTACTGTCTCTCTTCTTTCTCCAACCCTTCAATGCCCTCTCTCACTCTCTCCTGACCTTTATCCTCTCTCTTCACTTTTTATTTTTATTTTTCTTATTTCGTACTCCGGAAAATCCCCAACTCCTCCACCTCTTCCAACTATGCCTGGTGTTGTTTATTCAGCCACCAATGGACTACAGGTTCCTTACTCTTCTGAGCCTCGATTTTCCAAAGAAATTTCATGCAACAAAGTGAAATCTTAGGGTTTTTATTTACTAAAACTCCATAGCCAGGCTTTTAGGCTTTAGCATGGCCTCAAGAGAGAGGAAGAGGAGAAGAAAGAGGTGTTTATTGTGGGAGAGAAATCGATCGGTCTTTGAACCAGGAATATAAACTGGTTTCACAGGGAGTTGAGAAAGGAAACAGCTGATAGTTTTGAAGGGGTTGGACGAAAAAGAAAACAGTAGCAGGGAATATAATAAGATGACTTATTCAACAGCTTATTTTCTAATTTTTTATATAAAAAATATTTTATTTGTATTATTATTTTTTTAAATCCTAAGTCTTCCTTTGGCCGAAACGCCAAATTGTTTTTCATATCTAAAAACACTCATAGAATATTTCACTCATGGCTCATTACTATTCAAAGTTTATCCGATAGTCACGATTGTCGGCTAGTTTTTTTAATTTTAATATTTTTTTTATAAATCATATTAACCTAAACTTTTTTATGTGTGTGTGCCTTAGTAAGGTGCACTTAAATAAAATATAAAAAATAATCAAAATATCCAAATTTCCCCTATAAATATTTTAGTGGTATTTTTATTATTTTATCTTTTGAGAATTATTTTTTAATATTTTACATAAGTGTGAATTGCTTAGATGTCCACGCCCCAAATTTCATATGAATCTGATTTCTAGAAAATTTATTAAAATTCAAACACTATCAGACACATGTGATTGCATAATGGCCCTTGAGTGGTGATAAGCCATAAATAAAAGAAAAAAGTTTATATAAAGATGCAACCTTATAATGTAGAACTACAGATGCACCTCAAAAATCCATAAGAAAAGATAGTTTTAATGTTGAATCATCAAGATATGTGACCATGAAAAATAAAAAGATTTTTTAAATCTAAAAAATAGTGCATTTTACGACATATTATCTACACTGTCTATTTTCAAGTTTTTCATATGTTTATAGATCTACTTGATTTTAACCATTTTTAAAATTTAAAATTTTATGATTAGATATAAAAATAGATTTTGAGATAATCCTAAAAACA